GATGACGGAGCTACTCTGCACCCGGGTAGCGGTTCTCATGCGTACGAGCTTCCTGCAGGAACGCTGTTTCACTACCGCAAAACAATTGCACGTGGCGATCGAGTAGGACATGTATGAACCTGTCTATCGTCCTCCAACAATAGATGATCGTTCCGTGGCGCAGCATAACGCCGGAAACTTCTGGAACGCGTCAAGACGGTCCACGTAACAGCACGCTTGCTTTTCTGACCAACAGGGCGGTACATTCTGGCGCGTCAGAACTGCAAGTTTTGATTGCGGACGAGTATGCATGCGGACGCAACTCAGCGCTTCGACCGCCTCGGCCTGCAAGCCTGGTATTCGGGATGGCGCAAGCAGTTCTCATGTCTCCCGTCGTCCGTGATGGTACGAACCACGGTAGTTGCTGCCCGGTGGTAATCTAGAGGCGGCAGTCAGCATCCGCGCGACTCGTGGGCTCAGCGAACGCATTTTGAATAACGGTGTGTCAAATGAACCCACCGGCAGCGCGAAGAGATATGCCAGTTCGGGCCGCGCAACGAATGCCAAGGGGTGAACAATTCTCCAACAATCAACCCCCTGGCTAAGAGCCGCCTAGACCGCAAACGGTTAGTGGTAGTGTGCCTGGCATCGCATCCTCCACAGTCGCCTAATTGCCCAGCCAGACCCTCCCCCGCAACTGAGCACGGCAAAAGCAGACGCCAATGTCACATTCGACTCAGCGGAGGTTGGACGACTCGTCGAAAAGGAATCCGGACCGCACAAGCTGCGGCGCAGTTGGCAGAGGCAAACGCCTCATCAAAGACCAACCATGGCGTTCACGCAACAAATTGCGCAAAACTATGTGAATACGCATCAGCGCGGCGAGACCGCGGATGGCACCGCTTTGTGGCACTGCAAATCTTTGTCGCATTCGGCCTCTTCGCAGGCATCGCTGACCCTGAAGACCATTCGGAGGCAGAACAGGGGCGTGCTCCACGTGGTGGCGGCGCATTGTTGTTGTTCTTTTCCGTCCTTTGCCGCTTGAAACTCACACGCGACAACATTTTGGTATCTGCACAGCGAAGCTTACTCGTCTCTGACAAGGAGCACCCAGCCTGTCTACGCTCAAGCAGTGGAGTCGCCCGGCGGGCCCGAGTACGACATGTCTCTCGAGTCGTCTCCCTGTATCAGAGGGGCACCTGAAGCCAATATTGGGCGTCCGCTCGGCTGGCAATACACTCGCTGATTGACAGGGGACGGAAGCTCCCTGGACGCAATGGCCCATGTCAAACTTACTCTCATCAACCCTGCAACTGTAGCGTGCTGAGAAGCTTAGCGATCGTCTAGGACCCGTCCACGCCGTCCAACATGCCGCGTCTGGGGCACCTGCATTTCCGTTTGGCCCGGTAAAGAAGTCAGTTGGACGATCTCCTTCCTTTCATGTGTTCGGTCCATATCAGGGCACACTGCTCCACCCAGACTAGTTGTTGGCATCTATTGACATTATTTCCTATATCCTTCGCACATGCCCTAGGCTGTGGATCTTTCTCGCGGAGAATACCTTTAGTGTTGACTCCTCCTTTGTGCATACAACAAAGCCAAGCCACATCCCACCTGACCTACTTAACCTATCTGACCGTTCGACAACGTCCTGTCACACAGTAGCCTGCTTATTGGTGCTCGACAAATCTTGGGGCGGTCACTGGATCTTACAGAGCACGAGACCGAAATTGCTTCGTTGCAGGCGCGATTCGACGATTTGTTGCTTGCCGGCCATGGTCTCTTGATGAGCTGAGAACAGAACTACGTCCGATCATCTTATCGGGCCGCTTCAACTCGCATACGACGATCTGTTGCAACCATGGCGCCCTACGACATGGCCATTATAACCTCTGCCCTGGAAGGCCGTTCTATCAACAAGCCGTACGACCCAACCTTGGACAGCATGGATCCGCTCAAGCCCGTGTACAAGGCGGGGCTCATTCCCCTTGGCATATTCGCCATGATGAGTTTATTATCAGTTACGGCCTTGCTCGGATTCATCACTCAACGAATGATATCGTGGCGGAGACACTACAGACAATATGTCGGATACAACCAATACGTTATCCTCATCTACAACCTCTTAATCGCAGATCTGCAACAATCAATCGCCTTCTCGATATCCTTCCATTGGCTCCGACTAAACAAGATCGCGGCACCCACTGGCGCATGTTTCCTGCAGGCCTGGTTCCTGCAAATTGGGTAAGCATTATCCCCATCCGATATGTCTGTGATATAGACACTGACTCTGTATACCCGTGTTCAGAGATGTCGCGAGCGGTTTCTTCGTCCTCGCAATCGCGATACACACCTGGTTGGGCGTGGTCAAGGGATACAAAATGCCATACTTTTGGTTTGTGGTGTCAATCCTCTCGATTTGGGCCTTTGCATTGTTTCTCACGGTGCTTGGACCGGCGCTCTACCAGGAGCGATACTTCGCTCGTGCTGCAGGATGGGTAAGCCTATCCCTCTCCGACTTCCGTGTACCCAGGAACTATTTGGACTGACTATCAGTAGTGCTGGGTTTCCCACAACTACCAAGAAGAAAGGCTTTGGCTACACTACTTGTGGATCTTCATCGTAGAGTTCGGAACAATCATCATCTACGCCCATGTCTTCTTCCACCTCCGCGGTCGCATCCGGAGCATCATCGCGAACGATACTAGCAAGCTCACGCGCGCGACCAAGTTCATGGTCATGTACCCTTTCGTATACGTCCTCCTCACATTGCCCATAGCGGTGGGTCGCATGGTAGCGATGACCGGTCATCAAATGCCAGAACTCTTCTACGTCGTGGCTGGCTCGCTTCTCACATCGTGCGGCTGGATCGATGCGCTCTTGTACACCTTGACACGGCGGGTTCTAGTCTCCGGAGACTTGAGCACAGGGCACTACAACAGAACTGTCACTGCGACCCTCACGAACGCAGCACGACCAGGCGACGACAATCATTACGGCCTACATTCCATGAGCAACAAAGAACCCCTCACATCCACTGCCCGCACCGTCACCATAGTAGGTGGCAGCAACAGGCTGTCACGAATAGTGGACCACCGCCGCGGGCGCAGTTACACAACGCGGTCACGACTCGAAGACACGCTACACGAGGACGATAGTCCAACACGAGCAGGATCACAAGATTCGATCATCAAAAACACGCCCACAGGGCACGGCATCAGTATTGTCACCGAAACAAGTGTGCAGGTGGAGACTACTGACGACAAAGAGTTCGAAGCAGGAAGGCCACGGTCGAAAGACTGGAATGATGAATACAGTCGAAGGCCGTCATGAGACGGGTATACTTTCACCCTTGGCCTGGTCCTCCTCCAAGTGACCACGCCCGTTGCTCGCAGAAAGAACTGCACTACACACCGACCCCGTTGTCCCTACCTTGACTCGATACTACTTGTACACTATCGTTTGTTCAGCACGAAAAGCGTAGGCGTTGGACTGGCGCGACTTCCTGTTTCCTTTGTTTCCAAGCTATGTTGCACTACACTGTCTACCAAGAGGTAGCATTGAGATACCCGAATACAAAACAACTACAATTTCAAACGTACACTGTCCGATTCTAGTCTACCACACCACGATGTGTTAGTGTATTAGCATCATATAAAAGCGCAGTACTGTATAGAACAATACATATCGTCCCCCATGTTCTACCACCTAGTGTTCACGCGAAAGTACATACGCATACATTCGGAGTAAAAATGTGACCGGTCAATCCAACATCCGTTCCACGTTTCACGTTATCGAAAGTACTAACCTCGCGAAGTTCTTAGCAGCTACTCGGAGTGCGGTGCGAGGCTCCTCGCGAAACCTTACGCCTAGTGTATCCCGACGAACAACGGAGTGCTCACCGAATTCCAAGACAGCGTTACGCTAAGCCGTCCCGATGTCCAGATGGATTGCATTTAGATCGTATCATTCGTATTACGGGCGTGCTTCCTGTGTTGCACGAAATGAACGCCGACTTGAAGGGTGCTGGAGCCGGCTTCGTAGAGAAGCTTTCGAGAGCCACTTCATCGAAGGGAAAAAATGCACATTTCCCTACAGCCAGTAGTAGCAGTGAATCACCCGAAGGTCTGTATTGCATTCAGAATTTGCTATTTTCGTCTCAGCACTAATGTATTGTACAGTCCTCTTTTCAGTTTCATCCTTGATCGGGGTGGGGTGGAGCAGAGTATGCCTTGGAAGTGTTGGCAGTGGTCCGGGTACTGAAGCCGACAAAACAAAGGGTATTGCATCAAGCGAGCGTGAGAAAACATACTCATCGCTTATCTTACATAACACGAACCATTCATCGTTTAGACGTACAGGGTTAAGCTATGGTAGTACGCGTGGTTCATGGTGGCGATCGCAATCGCTGGAAGTCTGACAGTATGCTGCTTGATGAGATGTCGCAAGTATAGAAGGCGAGGCTGGAGGAATTTGTCACGGCGCGCTTCTAGCACTCGGTAAGAATGGCAAGGGCGGGCGTTGGCTGCAGTTGTAAACTTTCGTGGCGGCGATCCTGGGAACATAACAAGAAACTGATCGGACGTACCGCAGTCTACATTCCTACCAAAACGAACGTTCAAACAACTGCTAAGGCAACGTAGACTTGTTCATTACTCGTAATTGACATTACCCCCTATCGAGCGCATAGGTCCACACCCAAGTCATTCCGTGATTGGTTTGATGTTGACTGTAGACTGCAAATAGTAGAAGTTGGTGGAGCGTCTTGGGCGATGGTTACGGTAGGACTTCACACTTCAACACAAGACACTGCATGTACTGGGATTGGAGGATGATGTTTATTGGCGTGAGGGGTCACTCAAAGCCATTTTGGCACACCACTGTATCTGCACCATGATATCGCCGGTTTCCATGCGTAAGAAAGTGCAGAAGGAGAATAATCGAGAAGTCCGAGAAACCACGCCGTTGACCATCCGTATCCCATTTTGCCAGCCAATCCACCCGGAGCCACCTGTCCACGTCTAGATGTAGGTCTCGTAAGGTACGGGTGTGATGTTCTCCGGCTTCTGCTCCTTGAGGCTGACAATGTGCTCGGCGCGGGGCTGTGCGGGCTGGCGCTTCATCTGTTGGGGCTCGCCAGTCTCCTTGGCCTTTTGTTGCTTGGCGAAGTTGAGCTTGACGCGCTTGAGGAAGTCCTCTCGTGAGCGGGAGTGGCGGACGTGTTCGATGCGGACGTTGATGCGCTTCTCCATGTATCGGTTGCCGACTTGCTTCTGGAGGATGACACCGACGGCGGACTTGGTGACGTTGTAGACGATACCGGTCTTGCCGTGGTAGACCTTGTAGGGCATACCCTTCTGGACGGCACCTGTCTTGCATAAGTCCTCCGCTTCAACCGCTTTCGCTGTGGATCTGGGGTTTCGTACCGTTGGCTACGACATCGACGATATCACCGACCTTGTACTGCTTGAGGTAGGTCGAGAGCGGGATCATTCCCTTTTTCTTGAAATCGCGAGAGAAACTGTCGCAGCGTCAGCAATCGTCCGAATGAATAGAGTGCGCCTTCGACTCAGACTGCGGTCTGGTCTTGTCGCATGGGGAGTCGCATGGGGAGTCGCAATCATTCAAACTTACGCATAGCGCGTACCCGCGCGGAGACCGGCTGCGTGACCCATTGTGTGTTTGAAGTTGGGCTGGTGGTTAGTAGCTGAGCTGTTGTTGATGGCGGAGTGGAATTTGGCAGAAACGAGGCAGTGTGCGGTGGTCCGACCGCTGGCGTCTTGGCAAAGACCCACATACGCTCTCAAACCACCAAGACAGTGTAGAAGCTCCATTGTCTAGATACTTGCTACTGCAATAGATAGCTTTCTTTGTCCTACATTATTACCGTCTCATAGTTAATTCGCCTTGACCTCCGCCGCTTACATCCCATACATCCTGAGGGGGTGTCATCAAGGCTCTCTTCTTCAAGTGACCAGCAAGCCGGAACACTTAACGAAAAAAGTATGTATGCAAGTAACTGTGCGTGCGCTGTTCAAATCAAACCCTTAGGATTCGAGCGCGAGGCATAGATGCGTCAAGTCTAGAAAGAATGTTAGTGGGATAAGATAGAGAGTACGTACACGAGGCTGTGCGAAACACCACCCCAGCGTTCAGTCCCGAGTCGAACCTGACTGCATCGTAAGAGAGTCAAAGGCAACTCAAAGGTTAGTTCGCCGAGAAGTTGAAGATTGAAGGTAGTAGTGTCGAGTAGAAGGCGTATTAGGTCGAGATTTGCGTCCAGCTATTGGTGTGGCAAGATCCGATGTTCATTGGTAGGGAGAGACATACGGATAGGGAGAGGCGTAGGGGTTAGGCAGGGAGGGTACAGTAGCAGCAGCAGCGGCGGCAGCAGCAGCGGCGGCCATGGCGGAGGTGAAACGGTTCTCCTCAACAGCAGCAGCGGCAGCAGCAGCAGCGGCGGCGCGGACAGGGGCGAGAGCGTCCTCAGCAGCATTAGCGGCGCGGGCAGCGGCGCAGACAGCGGCGAAACGGTCGTTAGTAGCAGCTTCAGCAGCAGCAAGATTAGCAGCAGCGGCGGCGCGGGCAGGGGCGAGAGCGGCTTCTTGGTAGCAGCCTTTACACATCCATCGGTTTGAGGAGGAATCGAACTGCCTCTTGCCACCCTTCTTAGAGATGATGGCACCGCAAGCTTCGGTCTCGCATATCTGGTCGCCATTGTCGTCAAACACGCCTGGATATTGTTCGCGGGTCAGGGCTTTTGAAAACAGTTCGGCAGGCCGGTCGACACGATGTATCCTGAAATAGTAGTAACAGGCATGACATTTGAACGAGAGCCCGTCGGGCCGGGTGGGATCCACGCTGTAGAACCGTGTTCGTCCCACGCCTCGAGCAGTCCGGGCTTCCGAGGTATCATCGCAGTTCTGGCAAGTGCGTATGCCTCCGTGCCTGCGCCTCCATCCCTGGAGGAGTGACCAGGTCGAGTTCAAGCCTGGAGCAAGCGGCCTGTCAAGTAGACATGCTGCACGAATGGCATCGACAGCTGTGTAGAGATCATCGTGCACGAATTTCGAAGGAGGGTCGCTGCGGAATCCCGAATCGGAGATAGTGCCCAGGTATATCATAAAGACCGACTCGGCGAAGATGGTTAACCATGGGATGGGATCGTGTCCATAGTGGGCGAGGCAGCGAAGGTTGATGTCACGGCCCTCGACGAAGATGGCCCTGCTGTGGCGCCCCGTCTCCTTGCGGGCTCCCGGATTGCGACCTCCGATGTAGGCGTACCAGCGTTGGAGGATTCCATGGATCCCACAGGCAGAGCCTACGTAAGACTTCCATTCCCTAGAAGCGAATGTTAATCGAAGTTGAAAATGCCTTGGAAATGTGGATGCTGCATACCACGTATCCTCGGGACTGCCTTTCGTCATGCTCACATAGACTCCCTTCTCGCTAAGTATGGTGTTGGGCAGTCGAGGCAGCGAGAGGACATCGTCGACGGTGAAGTTGCGCTTAGCCAGTACTAGTCTGGTCTCCTCTGGAACGCCGGCCAGAAAAGACTCGAGGAGAAAGTCAGGATCGGCATTGCTGATGAGGGTTGCAAAGCCGCGAGTGAAGAGTCCGAAGTGGTCATCGTCAGCGTCGTTGTAGTGAAGCCAGAACTCGAGGACATGATGTTTGAGTTGTTGGATGATGATCCGGATGCGAATTCGGAAACGTTGAATCCGGTCCTCGCGTATCGACTCCTTGAGTAGACGCATCGTTGGTGAAGATGGACGAAGACGCCTATCACTCTCATCGAACTGGAATTTCCGAGGAAGATGAAGGTGAGCATCATCATCCTCGATCTTGTGGAATGTTAGCTTTGCCGATGATAAGTTGAATCGGTCCACATACGCTGTCGTCTTCCGGAATGCCATCCAAATCCTCACATGGCCAATACTCGGGATCGAGTATAGCCGCTTCATCACGGATACTAGCTGTCCTGTCGTCAATAAGATCAATGAGCTGATTAGCATCGACATTGCTGTCGCCAACAGTGGTCACGGGAAGAGAGAAGGAAGGCATGGTGTTGGAGAAGAGGTATATGAGGTTTGATTATGCAGGGTATGTAGGAGTGTGTGAGTGTTCAGAGGGCTTCTGATAGCTTAGCTGAAGGATGAGACGAGAATATGAAGCAGGAGCGACGAAAGTCTGAAGCAGAAATGGCGAGAGTTTGCTGGCTTGGCTGATGTGGAAGGCGAAGAGATTGGTAGGAAGCAGGATGTGGGAATTGAAGCCGCTGAACTGTTGGCTGAACTTTTGGTGTGCTTAACGTTGTCAATTAGGGACAAAGAGCAAAGGAAGCTCGAAGCTCCGCAGCGGCATAAGTATCTTCGGTGAGACGCTCCGAGCGATCAGGGTGCTTGCCTTGAGGGCCATGAGCTCTTTCCTCAACACCAGAACATCAGCCCATCCCGATAACGCTGGTCCAGAAATGGACAATGGTAGCCCCGCACCTGGAAACATCCGGAAGAAAACTGTTGAGAGGCGTGCTGGAGGTAGACACAAGCTGTGATGGACTACCCACGGTGATGCGATGTCAGTGTCGTGATGTTACGAGAAGGAGTATCAACACCACAAGCAGCGCCAGCTATGCAGTGTAGCAATAAGCTGCATGCTTCAATTTCACCAATATCTTTGTGAGCGCTAGAACATGCCACTATCCCGTAGATGCGTGCAATGGGATTTCCCGAGTGTGGATGACGCAGTGACGTCGTACGTTGAACTGGACGGAGGCACGGGCACCCAGACTTGGCGTGAAGCTGTGTATCTCATCGTAGTCTCTGCTGCTGTTACTCTTCTTTTTCTTCTTTAACGATGAAAGCGGCAATTGTCGTAAGTATACCCCTTCCTACACGACCCCTTCCACTCCTACCTTACCACTGGATGGATCCGGTGCACCTGCTCCGCAAGTTCGACGCACCCTACGATTGCATACCGATTCATTTTTGCACCTGCTCTCACTATCTGCTATCGAAGAAGGACCAGCTGCCACATTGACCACCCATCGCCGTTCTCTCAATGGTTGGCTGCATGATCCATCGATGGCAGGCTCGACCAACCCTCACCATTGGAATGGAAGAAGAACCAACCTACCGAATGCTACCAATACAACCTGGATTTGAAGACTAGAACATCCATCATACACATTAGAGAGAGCCCGTTGTGTTTTGATCATATACTAATTTTTGCCATTTAGATCTGCACCGTTTTCGCTACGTTTTTTTTTTTCGGTTACGTCACCTACGAGGTCACCAACGCGTACGTTTGTAACCAGATCATCAAGAGTGACCCAGACACCCGCAAGGCGATCCTCGCCTTCTATAGTCCCTGGGCGGTAGTTTTCCAGGAGAGTCACGTGCCTGTCTTGGCACTTGGCGCCTATCTCGCTTATCAGCTGCGACACATTCTCGACTTGATTTTTCGACGTTAACTCCAACCATCGACAACCACAATGGCGCCTCCCCGATCCTACTCCAAGACGTACAGCGTCCCCCGTCGTCCTTTCGAGTCCGCTCGTCTGTATGTGCAACCCCATGGCCACTGAGCGAGAGCGTGCTCCGCTTATGTCTGGGACACAAGTTAATGTTGGGTTAGGGATACTGAGCTCAAGCTCGTCGGCGAGTATGGTCTCCGCAACAAGCGCGAGGTCTGGCGTGTCCAGTTGACTCTGTCCAAGATCCGTCGTGCCGCTCGGTGAGTGCTCATCGTTCTCGTCTGCGCGCAATTGATGCGCAGTCGGCGAGATGCGAATTCGCTAACATCTCGCAGTTCGCTTCTTACTCTTGACGAGAAGGACCCCAAGCGTCTCTTCGAGGGTAACGCTCTCATCCGCCGTCTCGTGCGTGTCGGTGTCCTTGACGAGTCCCGCATGAAGCTCGATTACGTCTTGGCCCTCAAGATTGAGGACTTCTTGGAGCGCCGTCTCCAGACCTGCGTCTACAAGCTCGGCCTCGCCAAGTCCATCCACCACGCTCGTGTCCTGATCCGCCAGCGCCACATCCGGTATGCATCCGCCCGCATTCGCTCAAGAAGCGCGTGACTAACAGTATGACAGTGTCGGCAAGCAGATCGTCAACGTCCCCTCCTTCATGGTCCGCCTCGACTCCCAGAAGCACATCGACTTCGCTCTGACCTCGCCATTCGGTGGCGGCCGCCCTGGCCGTGTCAGGAGGAAGAAGGCCAAGGCCGCCGAGAAGGGTGGTGACGAGGACGCCGGCGAGGAGGACGAGGAGTAGACTTGACGCCAAAAGGAATGATTCATGGACGACCGGCGTTAGGCACGATGGGATGAATCTCTTTGATAGTCATCCTGTCCTGGAAAGCACTATATCCCTTGTGGGTCTCGGCTGGTGGATGATCTACATATACTTCACGTAGACACTGCCCAAAAATTTTCAACTGCCATCGTCTGTCTTAGTTCACTTACAATGCCCGTGAGAATGTAAATGATGCTTGTCCACGTACGGTTTGTAGGATCTCACAACACCCTGCAGCCTACATTGATGCTACGTCTTATCATTTACTCGTTGTTGTCCTAGTGTAGGCTGCAGGCCTACTCAGTTCTTTCTTGTATGATGTGCCAGTCTCACCTCATTCATGGAAAATTCCGAACACTGTCGAGCCTACATCAAGATAAAAACATGCAAAGTAGGTGACCTTACGTTAATGTAGGCTCCCGACCTATTCAGCATTTTCTTGTACTAGGTGGCCTGACTGACGATCTTGCAACGATGTCTGCCCTGTGGCTGAGTCGTTAACAAACCCCAAGCTATCTGCATAACGTTTGACCAGCTCGCTGCATTTTGCATCAAACTATTGATGAGCCTAATACCTCCCGTATCTTGACCCTACCACATGCACACATCACAACTCAAGCAATCGACAGGTGTCAATACGTTCTCACAACACCAGCTTTCGATCACTATGTCTCGATATGCTCTTCCCTACTGCATAATCCTAGTACTCAGAGTCATCGGTATACAGCCGCGTCTGTGGGCTAGGTCTCTTCCCCTCCAGCGACAGCCCAGCCGCAACCCTCTCCTCGCCCACCTTGGCCCTCGCCTCCTGCATAATCCACAGTCCAGAACTAGTTCCCAGCCGTGTCGCGCCAGCCTCCAGCATCTTGACTGCCGTGTCCAAGTCCCTGACCCCACCACTCGCCTTGACCTCCATCTTCTTCTTGCCTATTTTGGCCGATGCGAGGTACTCTGCCGCGGCCACCATGAGCTGCACGTTGGGCAGGTTAGCGCCCGGTCCGTTGAAGCCAGTGGATGTCTTGATGAAGTCGAAGCTAGCAGCAGCGGCAAGATGAGATGCAGCAAGGATTTGCGCGGAGTTCAATTGCGAAGTTTCGAGGATAAGTTTGAGTGTTGTGGGGGCAGGGCAGAGGCTTCGTATGCTAGCCAGTTCTCTGTAGATTGCGCTGTAGTCTGGGATATCGTCCGTGTCTTCCTCGCTAAAGTCGCTGGCGTTGCTGCTTCCAGCATTCTTCGCCGTGTTGGCAGCGGTGATGCTGTCGATTGCTGAGTCACGAGCACGCTCTAACGGTGGAGAAGCTGGTCGGTTGTGCTTGGTGAGGAGGGAGTAGTTGAGGACGACATCAAGTTCCCTCGCGCCTGCTGCTACGGCGGCACGTGCTTCTCGCAGCTTGTAGTACGTGTCTTGGGTTCCTTCGTGGAAGCCTACAACGCAGGCTACAAGCACGTCGGTGCCTTTGAGGTTGGAGACACAGCGTTGGACATAGTTCAGGCGAACACAGACAGACTGAGAATCTTGTCAGCTTGGGTTTTTCTCGGGAGCGGTGAGATGTAGCACGTGTCCCAGCTCCAAACTCTAAGGGTGCGACTGTGCCTCATCCCGAAGAAACTCCACCACAACTGCAGAAGCACATACCTTGAAGTTCTCCGTCCTGGCCTCAGCGCAAAGCCCATCGATCGTCTTTGTCGTCGCGTCCAACTTGAGTACCGTGTGATCCACCGTCTTAGCCAACTCCTTCAGCGCCTCATCTCCATTCCTCATCCGCGGGCCCTCGTAAACCTTCCTCGCCCTCTCTCCACTTTCCACCTCTTTCAATACATTCTTAATCGTCTGATCAATTTGCGTTTTCCATTCCTGGTTCGTAAAACGATCCGTCATTATCTCGATGGGGTTCGATTTGTCGTCGCAAAGATCCGGGTTGGCGGCGAGGAAACCGCGGATCAAAACTTCGGATTCCGTCAGAGGGATGGGGTGGGGGTTGGTTGGAGCTCCCGCGCCTGCTGTGGATGAGGTGGACATTTTGAACGACGCGCTTGCAAATGTTTGTTTATTGATCTTGTGATTGTCCACTGATCTATTTTAGTGGCTGTCGAACCGTGAGCCGCGGATGCGCGAGCGAACGAGAGGGCGAGTGGAAGTATTGACGATGACGTGGGGTGGCTTGTTCTCGACTCGTGTCCAATCGTTAATTGAAATAAGCACTTTAGGCGAACGGTTATGCAGCGGCGTTGCCTCCTGGTCTTTGAGATAGAGGTGGCTGTATCGACGCCTATTATGTAGGAATCTTGAAGTTGGCGGAGGTCGGCGTTTTGCTCGTCATGTGGCTGCTGGTAGGGAAGGTGCTATGAACTGGGTAGGGGTCTCGGCCATGCTTCCCCACTTGGAGAGCAGAATCATTCTGCCAAGAATGATGTCCTTCTTTTCTAGGTAAGAAGCACATCTCTTTGCGATACTAGTAAGTTGTGACCGTTTCCATTCCACGCGGGGTGGTACAGTACCCGTATACAACCTGGTGTTCGGTGTAGACGGAACTTGATCAAGTCAGTGTACAACACATAGACATAAACCCGGCGTATGCATGTTATTCACAAAATAATGTTGATCACTTCTTTGTATGCGAAACGAGTGTGAGGAATTGACGCTTGATTTACAAAGGACCGCTAGCATGCGTAGGTATCCTCGATTGCAAGCCGGTCCTCACCTCGGACGACTGATCCAAAGGCTCTGAAATGCTATCTCTCCTCCCACATGCATGTACATGAAAG